ATAGATAGATAGATAGATAGATAGATAGATAGATAGATAGATAGATACTTTATTGATCCCCAAGGGGAAATTCAAGACAGACTGACAGGCTTGGTTTAACCTGTAATACCACAGAAGCATGTATGACCTTTGACTTTTGGCAAAGGCCACACTGTCGGCCCCTTTTTGGGAAAAGATTCATGACGCATGTCTCAAATTTCCCTTCGTCTCCAGTTGATTCAAGCAGGCAAAGGGGAGGCTCTGAGGATCAGGGCCATTCTGAGGTCTCTGGTGCCCATTGAGGACCTGGTGGGGGTCATCAGCCTGCCCGTGCAGATTCCTGCTTACGGGAAAGGTTAGAGATTCCTTTCTGGATTGGAGCTTTTTCAATCAACCCGACCTGCGCTGACTCCTTTGTCCGTCCGAACCGCAGACGGTCAGATCATCGAGCCCAAGATGTCGGCCAGCTTCGTGCCGGACCACAAGGCCTCCATGGTGCTCTTCCTGGACAGAGTCTACGGCATAGAAAACCAGGACTTCCTGCTCCACGTGCTGGAGGTCGGCTTCCTGCCCGACATGAGAGCGTCAGCCTCTCTGGACACAGTGAGTAGCCAAAGGCAGAGTTGCCCCCCCGATGGGTCTGAGGCACCCCATGCTGCTTCCCTTACACCTTTGGGTCTGACTTCAGGTGGCCTTCAGCACGACGGAAATGGCCCTGGCGCTGAATCGCTACCTCTGCTCGGCCGTCCTGCCTCTGCTCACCAAGTGCGCCCCCCTGTTCGCCGGGACGGACCACAGGGCCATCATGATTGACTCCATGCTGCACACCATCTATCGCCTGTCCCGCGGCCGAGCCCTCACCAAGGCCCAGAGGGACGTCATAGAGGAGTGCCTCATGTCGCTCTGCAAGTCAGTGCCGGGAAATCACGGAAGAATGGCTTTAATTCAGCTTTAATTTAGCTTTAATTTGCTGGGAAATTCCTCTTCTTCATGAGCAGTGGTCAATTTAGTGGCCAGCTATTTAAAAGCCATTATCACTTTAGCTTTACTACGGTGCATCAAGCAAGAAAGATTAAATATGTCCACAAAAATAATCTGTTAAAGAGGAGCTGAGATAGACTGAAATGAATAAAGGGCTTGAAACATTCACTTAAAGTTCTTAAAAATTGCAGTGCACTTGAGTGGACATTGGAAAAATCCTTGGATAAAAGCTTTTTTTTAAAGAAAGTCTTTAAGAAAATCCAACACTTTTGGGAAAAATCCTTACTGAGATGATCCTAATTCATGCCTAGATGAAATATTTAAGATACATCCCTCTTCCTAACATGACAGGTTTCTCCAGAATGAACAAATCATTGCTTATCTTTAACTAACGAAGCATTGTTCTGGCCGGGGCAGGTACCTGAGGCCCTCCATGCTGCAGCACCTGCTCAGGAGGCTGGTGTTCGACGTGCCCATCCTGAACGAATACGCCAAGATGCCACTGAAGGTTTGCCTGAGCTTTAATTGTACTCCAGATTTTTGTTGTCCAAGAGTGTCGGATTGCCTCTGTCAGGTGGCGGATCTTAGGGAGGACTCAGTTGCGGAGATGTGGTAAAAAAAAGGTTTAATTGACTAAAACGCACTCAAAAGGAGTGGTTGACCAGACAAAGTTAAAACAAGGCTGGCAAAACTATGAACAAATTATCAAAGCAAGATTAACATGACTGTGAACAAAGTATCAAAACAAGTAAACAAGACTATGACAAAAGTACTAAATAACGTAAACAAGACTATGGCAAAAACTACACTGTGCAAAATTCAAACTCTTACGTTGCGTGGACAAGACAAGGAACGAAAGCAAAGTGACACAAAATGATGAAAATGACAAAAACACACTGGCACAGGACAGGTAAAACGAGGTCTATTTAAACACATGAGGGAAGGGAACCCCAGGTGTACACAACAGGTAATCAAGACATGACAACACACCAGAAATTCCCCCAGACGTGACAGCCTCGAAATGCGACGCGACTGAGGTGTCAACAGGAAGCGGTTCCCCTGTGAGTCAGTTTTTATCTCAAATGTGCCTTCCAGCTGCTGACCAATCACTACGAGCGCTGCTGGAAGTACTATTGCCTGCCCAACGGATGGGCCAACTTTGGAGTGACCTCCGAGGAGGAGCTGCATCTGTCTCGGAAACTCTTTTGGGGAATCTTCGAATCATTGGCACACAAGGTGAGAGACGAGTCTTGTCCGATTTCACATGGAGAGAAAGGGAAGGAAACTCTTGGGCTGACGTGGTCACGGCAGAAACCACGTGGAGAGGTGGTGAACTTTGAGCCTCAGCTAATCCTCTCATGTCGATTTAGAAATTTGATGCCGAGCTCTTCAAGATCGCCATGCCCTGCCTCTGTGCCATCGCGGGGGCCATCCCTCCGGACTACGTGGACGCCACCTACTCCTCTCACACTGAGAAAAAGGCCTCGGTGGATGCTGAAGGCAACTTCGACCCCAAACCGGTCGAGACCACTAAGTGAGTTCTGGGAGGACCCGCAGATAAAAAAAAAACGCAGAGCTAGTCAACTTCGAGGGGCTGCCACCGATTTATAAGATAGAAAAAATTTAACTTAAACTGTTTTTTCAAGTCTAACTGTAATGTCATCTCACAGCACCATCATCCCAGAGAGACTGGATGCTTTCATCAACAAGTATGCAGAACACACTCATGACAAATGGGCTTTTGAGAAGGTCAGTCGGTCAGAAACAATGGATAAATGTGTCAAATTAAGCCCCTGTTTGGTATCAGGAAGCAGTATTTCTCACGGTCTCCCTGATGGTTGAATCTTTTTTTCAGATTCAGAACAATTGGACCTATGGAGAGGTGTTAGATGAGAATGGGAAGACCCACCCGATGCTGAGGCCCTATAAAACGTTCTCTGAGAAGGTTTCCCCCTCTTTGTGCCCTCATGTAACCTGAGCTAAGAGCCTGATTATGTTCTCACCCCGTCTTCTTTCCGGTTCCCAGGACAAGGAGATCTACCGTTGGCCCATTAAAGAGTCCATCAAAGCCATGCTGGCCTGGGAGTGGACTCTGGAGAAAGCCAGGGACAGCGAGGGGGAGGTGGAGAAGAAGGCTACGACACGCAAAATCTCCCAAACTGCTCAGGTACGAGACAGAGGAGAAGCATGGGGGAACTGAAATGCTGCTCTTATAGAGGTTCAGTAGACCTCTATAAGACCCAGATTCGTCACTTAACATGTGGATGTTGGGGCTCCATCAATCATGGCTGGAGTGAAGGGCCCTGATGGAGAATGAGAAAGATTTAGGACATACTGAACCATTTTGGGCTTCTTTAAGAGCTAACAAGTGATGCGATCTTCTGTTTTACTGATGTGCATGCGGTTCGTTTGTTTGTCCTCAGGCCACTTATGACCCCAGTCATGGCTACAACCCTCAGCCAATAGACATCGCAGGGAATGCCCTGTCCAGAGAGCTGCAGGTAGGGATGTTTCTGTCAGTCTTCCACAGTCCTCAAAGCTCCCGTTGGTCCGATATTCTCCAGTAAAATCTGCAGGAAAGAGTGGGTTTGATGCCCTCACCCTCTCATTTTAGTCAATGGCTGAGCAGCTGGCAGAGAACTACCACAACACCTGGGGCAGGAAGAAGAAGGTGGAGCTACAAGCCAAAGGCAAGCAGTTGCTTCTGTTTGACTTGGGCTTCTGTTTTGAAGCCAAGACAAAACAAGTGTTGCTTTTCCTCCTCTAAGGTGGTGGCACCCATCCTTTGCTGGTGCCGTATGACACCCTGACGGCCAAGGAGAAGGCCAGGGACAGGGAGAAGGCCCAGGACCTGCTCAAATTCCTCCAGCTCAACGGATACGCCGTGACAAGGTGAGCAGGAGGTTTCTGTTTTGAGTTCTGTGCCTGTAAAGACTAGGGTTGTCAAAAGTATCGATACTCAAAAAAGTATCGACACTAAAATGTTGTATCTGGATACAATACTCATTTTCAAAAGTATCGATAATCTTTCAAACACTGAGTTAAACTCTATCCATAATGTTATGTTAAAATAGTGTATGTTAAATAGGTTTGTACAATACGTCCAAACAGGTTTAACCAAAAAGTATTTATTGCTAACAACTATGAAGGGTCAGGGTTAGGATTAGGGTCATTAAAGCGGCCACCAGTCACGATAACATCAGTATCAGGTCAGTTTGAAATGAAAGACACTAACCTGTCAAAATTCTGTCAAATTTTGGGGTCTTTGTTTTTATCCTTGCGGTATCGAAAATCGTATCGAGTATCAAGTATTTGCCTGAGTATCGGTATCGAGTTGAAAATTTTAGTATCGTGACAACCCTAGTAAAGACTACTCCTCTGAGAGTCGCTTCAGCTCTTTGCACACCTTTTCTGCGCCCACAGAGGAATGAAGGACATGGAGCAGGACATCTCCTCCATTGAGAAGCGATTTGCTTATGGATTCCTCCAGAAGCTTCTCAAGTGGATGGACATCGCGCAGGAATTCATCGCTCATCTCGGTACTGTGCTCGTCAGGGTTTGATCAGAGCTCGGATTCAGAGCTGGGAAACCTGTAAAACCCCAGGGGAGGAGCTGCAGAAGGTCCTGCTTTTAACCTAGTCATTCTTTCTCTCCTCCTTTCTCCCACAGAGGCTGTAGTCAGCAGCGGCCGGGTGGAAAAATCCCCACATGAGCAGGAGATCAAATTCTTTGCAAAGGTCAGTTACCTCATGCTTCACAGAATCGCTGTGTTGAAAATGAACCGTAAGCAGCCCTGACGACACCCCTTTGGTTTGCGGCCAATTTGGCACCACTGTGCTTTTTCCAATCTGGACCCACGATGAAAAAATGCCTGTTACAGCACCGCCTGTCCTCCATTTACCTCTAATTGGGAACAAAATGTAGAACCTGAGGATTTGAGTTGACCGACTATGATCCTGTTTGTCTCTTGAAGATTCTTCTGCCGCTGGTCAATCAGTACTTCAAGAACCACTGCCTGTACTTCCTCTCCACTCCCGCCAAAGTTCTGGGCAGTGGAGGCCACTCCTCCAATAAGGAGAAGGAGATGATTGCCAGGTAAGAGGCAGAAGCCCTGCTTCCTCTTTGCATCAGGCCTTGAACGTTTCCCAGTATCCTCCCCTTTGGTATTTTGTGAGGAACCAGTCTGTCCTCCTCTTGTGCCATGGCCCTCCATCTCTCTCTACCCGACTGTGCGGTATCTGTTAATTCCTTGACCTCCCTTTTGTTTTTGTGTGTACTTCAAACATTTTTACTGCCATTTCTCCCCTTACCTTCCTTCCTCCTCCCCTTTTCCTTTCCTGTTTTCTCCTCCTACTTCAGTATCTTCTGTAAGTTGGCTGCTTTGGTGAGGCACAGAGTCTCTCTTTTTGGTAAGACATTTGCATGGTGGCGTCACGCCCTGTCACCACCTCTGTCCCTCTGCGTCTGTTTTTGTTTCTCTTTGTTTCTGCTGATCTGATTTGCCTCCTCTTCCTCCGTCCCTCCCCTTTACATTCTAACGAGCAGTTTCACATTTTGTCTGCCGTCATTTCCTGTCTCCACCTCACCGGGCCTACTTGTCTAATGCTTCTCTCTCTTCAGCTCAGCTCCTGCTTGGCTTTGATGTTTTGTTTTTCTTGTGAGTGGAAAGTTGCCGTTTTGCTTTTGAGGCAAAAGCTGAGTTTAACACATGGGCAACAGCATGAATATTTGCAGTGGCGTCAGATATCCACAGATGGCAGCCGGGCTTGCATAAGGCAGAAGCTCCTTTATCTTCAGTCTCTTCCACTTTACCACCATATGTCTTTAACAGTCACTCCCATGGACCCTGACGGAGAGAATTTACTCGGCTCATTTGTGGTACAGCCGAGGGGGAATCGCATAAAAATCTGGGGTCTTACAGCATTGTGGTAGTGCTGCATGTTAGGGATGCTCTACCAAAAGATAGAGAACATATTAGTGAAATCAAGCGCTGGACAAAGGTCTCGGGCCACCTCTCATTGAATAGGAGACACACTGGTCGTAATCTTTTGATCTAAAGCCGTTCTTCTCATAGCATTTTTGCTTATTTTCAGTCCGTCCCTGCTCATTTTCAGCATAATTTCCTCCCATTTCTTCAGCTGCATCAACAGAAAGTGATAACAGAGAATAGTATATGGTGCTGTGTAGAATATCTGCAGCCATGAGCTCATTCCCAAAGATCTCAGCAGATTTCAGCTGTTGAGCAGTGAGTCCTTAAAACATCTGAGGAAACTGGACCAGTGGAGGACAGAAGAAGAAGAAGAGCTGGGCCTGAAAAACTCTGTAATCCAGCAGATGAAGAGGATCTGAAAGTGATGACAAAGAGGAGCAGATCCAGCAGAGAGTTGAACAGGAGCTGAGAGCTGCATCTGGACCTCCAGCTGACCAGCTCCTGGTGGCTGAATCAGAAATGCTCTCCATGAAGGGGGCTGTCCAGAAGCCATGAAGGAAGGAAACAGGAGGAAAGGTTGAGCTCTGCCAGAGGAACCAGAAGTGGATGAACCCCAGCAGCTCTGATGGAGGGATGGATCCTCCAAGAAGCCTGGAGAGCTTCTCCAGAAGACTTCTTACAGAAAAGACAAACAGCTTGCTGGAGAGGAAAGAGTTCAAAGCAAATATTTGTCACAGTACCTACGTTTTTATCAAGTGAATCTGGACAGAATGGTTTAAAAAAAACTTTACAAAAAAAAGTCTTCTTTTTCTCTAACTAGTTGTAAAACTAACTCTTTATTTAAAAAATTTGAGAAAAGGTGTCCACAGGTTACAAATCGTATCCCAAGTGAGCAGGTGAAGCTCAGAGAACAAGGAGCCGGCTCATTTCAAAGAACAGCAACTGTTTACCCACGGAAGGAAAAAATCTGCTGAAATAAAACCTTTGAAAAAAAGACTGAAGCAGTGTGGGATCATCTGACAGAGAACGGAGCCGAAGGCAGCCGGCATCCAAAGAAGTTTTCAGTCTCAAACGGCTTGTTTTTGTCTTCGATTTTCATCCAAAACGACTTAAAGAAGTCCAAAAAGAGCTCTCAATCAGACTAAATGCTGACTTTTAAGCGCTGCCTCTGTTTTTTTTCATTGCATTTCCATCTACGCTTGTACGCTTTAGCAGATCACACCACGTAGTGCCCACTGTCACCCCAATATCTAAAGAAACCAGGGCGTGGCTCAAGACCCTTGAGAATCACACGGTTCAGTATTCGTTCAAAGGGAAGCGGTCAGTTTTGAATGGTTTGCTCAGTGTTGCTCAAAACACGACGTAACATCCCGTCTGCATTTGAGCTCTGAATCAGAAAGAGCAGACGGAGATCAGTGATGCTGCTTTTTTTTCTGCTGTCTTCAGGAACGGATTCAGGAGCCGTGGTCAACTGCCTGCACATCCTCTCCCGCTCGCTGGACGCCAGGTACCTCGTTCTGGGCCCCCCAAGAGGCAGCAAACCAGGCAAAAACCTGTCGGGTTTCTTCTAACCTGCTCTCCTCCCGCTCCGTCCTTTCCAAAGGACCGTCATGAAGTCGGGCCCTGAGATCGTGAAGGCGGGACTGCGCCAGTTCTTTGAGAGCGCCGCGGACGACATCGAGAAGATGGTGGAGAACCTGAAGCTGGGGAAAGTCTCCAGTCGAAACCAGGTGGATGGACAGTCAGAGATTATGCTTTTTTTGGCTCCGAACTACAGCCTGTAGTCTCTTAAAACAGGATTTCAGGCCTCCTGTTTACTGAAATCAGAAATATTATCCCTATAATACCAAATGTATCATATTTGATTCATACGGTTTCTGAAGTCTTTTGGATCTGAGACTTTTTGCATCATTCAGTGGTAAAAGCTTTGCTCAGACCCCTGTTGTACACATTCAGATATACTTGATAACAGCCAGTAGAAGACTACACCAAAATATATTTTTAACTTATTGCACGCTAATTTGATCAAAATAATTTGTGGGGTTTTTTTCTGTTGAGGGAGCAAAGAAAGACTTCAGACTAAAAAAATCCAATATTCTTCCTATTTTTCTTGTAACAGGCTTTAAAGGGTTATAATAATTTCCCTGTGGGATTATTAAAGTATTTCTGATTCTGATACTGAAGCGATGCAATGACGGCTTTGTCAAACAGAAACCTTCATAATTTCTCTATTTTCAGCCACCTGGTCTTTTTGATCCGCTGTGCTGCACAAACTGAGATGTATTAAGATGAAATGTCGCTTTGTTCACTCATATTTTCAATTCTATTAATGAAAAATAGCTTGAAAACCTTTAGAAAATCTTTCAAAAATGGAGTCCAGATTTTTATCTTATAACCATCACCTCCGTCATGGAGCACCTCTGAGTCAATTAGATTTTTTTTGGGTGGGAAAGCATCCTTTTCTCTTAACCGTAAAACAAAGATAAGGGACTTGTGGAGTGTTTTGTGTTAGGATGTGACTCCTGGTAGAGTTGAGGCTGGAAGCTTCAAAAACCGTTCAGTAAACAGGCGCCGAACTGGCCGTTTGATGGTCCTTATACTGCAGGATCTTAGCCGGAGGCCTTCGTATTTAAGCTACCTGTTCACAGAGAAAACCAAAGGCAAAGGAGGCTTGTTTTACCCGGGTTTCTGTGTTTCTCTAGGGCTGTAAGGGCGTGTCCCAGAACATCAACTACACCACCACCGCCCTGCTGCCCGTCCTCACCTCCCTGTTCGACCACATCGCTCAGCACCAGTTCGGAGATGATGTCATATGTGAGCGCCCCGCAGAGCACAGACCTCCTTCCTGCTTTTTTCTCGCTCGGTGTCAGATCTAAAACTCAAGCCATTCCCCTTCTTCTCTAACCCCTCCTCAGTGGATGACCTGCAAATATCCTGCTACCGCCTGATGTGCAGCATCTACTCTTTGGGAACGGTGAAAACTCCACATGTGGAGAAGTGAGTGTCCAGCAACTCTAATCCCCTCCTGTTGGTTCTAGTTTCCAGAAAAAAACAAATGAAAAGCCAGAGTGGCTTTTCATTTGTTAGCCCGATTCTTTAGTTGGAAGCCTGAGAATAAACCAGAGTAGATCAATAGTACAAACATGACATTTATTGGTCACAAGCAGAGTAAATCAGCTGGACTCTCACAGACAAAGTTCCCGGAGGATCTCAGTTAGGAAAGAGCCTGGATTTCCAGGTGTGATGGACAGTTTTCCTCTGGGTCTCCAACAGGAGGACGGCTGGACCTAACGGAGTGTTATTGGCCAGTTAGCTCTGACGTGAACAGGCCAGGTCCTAATTCATGCAGGTTTAGGTGGAATGTGATAAGAAAGTGTGGATGTTGAGCTTGAAGACGAGTATCTACTGTAACAGAGAGAGGAGGAGGAGGCACAGCCAGAGTTTAACCCAAAAGTAGAATCATAAAGGGAGTAATATAGGTCTAAAAAGGAATAAGACAATCAGTCCTTTACATGGATTAAGTTATAAGATACTGTGCTAAAGTGAGTAATTAGAGCCCAATTCTAACACATTCATTCCTTTTATTTGTTGGGTGGAAACATTAAGGAGGACTTTTATCTTTTTGTGTCCTGTCCAGACAGCGGCCGGCTCTTGGCGAATGTTTGGCCCACCTGGCGGCCGCCATGCCCGTGGCCTTCCTGGAGCCCGTTCTGAACGAGTACAACGCATTTTCCGTTTACACGACAAAGACTCCCAGAGAGAGATCCAGTGGGTGTTTTTTCTATCCGATAGATTAATCTGACTTCAGTCCTTCATGCAGAGATATACAGTAACAAAGTAGAACTACTTAAGTACTGTACTTAACTACCAAAATGCAGTATCTGTACTTTATTGGAGTATATATTTTTTGCTCTACTTTTACTTTTACTCAACTACTTATTTTTGATTAATTTAATACTTTTACTTTTACTTTCATGGGCTGCAATGTTCCTCGTTACTGATATGTAAACGTAATGATAGATAGCTCTGTCAGGGTTTGGGAAGCTGGCTCCTTATTGGACGATTTGAGCCATCAAGCATGGCCTATTAAAAAAACCCTCCCAAAAGATTGCGAAATCCTGGCCTTCAAAAATTCCCCATCTAATCTGACGAAGCATTTCAAGCTAAGTAAAAAAATACAATGACATATAAGCTAGTAAGTAAGCGCTAGTTCAGTTCTCCCTGTTCACTCAGGACGTAGCAGCTAACGTTAGCTAAAGCTAAGCTAGCTGCCTAGCTGAATGCTACATGCTAGCATAAAGACTCAGCTCAGGATTCTGACTCTGGAATAATAATGAATAGTATTTAAGTGCTGTTGATTGCTAATGCAGATGTAGTTTTCTGTTTTTTGTAAACACCTGTATGGCCTTTCACACGTTTGAAATAATATAAAAAATATCTATCAAACCTTTGACTGCCTTTTTAAAAATATACTAGTACTTGTACTTTTACTTATACTTGTACTTTCGATACTTGAGTAGCAATTTTTGAAATACTTCTACTTGCAATACTAAAGTCCAAAAAAAATGGAGTACTTCCGTACTTCAACTTAAGTATGGTGTTGAAAGAACACTTCAACTTTTACTCAAGTCAATTTTTTTATATAGTACTTGCACTTCTACTCCAGTACTTTAAACATCTCTGGTTTTTCATCCCTCCTCTCCCAGTTCTGGGTCTTCCCAACCAGGTGGAGGAGCTGTGCACGGACATCCCGGAGCTGGAGATCCTGATGAAGGAGATCCACGACCTGGCCGAGTCCGGGGCCCGCTACACGGAGATGCCCCACGTGATCGAGATCACTCTGCCCATGCTGTGCAACTACCTGCCCCGCTGGTGGGAGAGGGGCCCCGAGAGCCTCCCCGAGCAGGAGGGCCAGGTCTGCACCGCCGTCACCTCCGAGCAGCTCAACCAGCTGCTGGGCAGCATCATGAAGATCGTGGTCAACAACCTGGGCATCGACGAGGCCTCCTGGATGAAGAGGCTGGCAGGTCAGTTGCCTTATCCCTATAATGCCAAATGTGTCATATTTGATACGGTTTCTGAAGTCTTTTGGATGTGAGACTTTTTGCATCATTCAGTGGTAAAAGCTTTGCTCAAACCCCTGTTGTACACATTCAGATATACCTGATAACAGCCAGTAGAAGACTACACCAAAATATACTTTTGACTTATTGCACGCTAATTTGATCGAAATAATTTCTGTTTTTTTTTAAATTCATATGTTGTTGAGGGACCAAAGAAAGACTTCAGACCAAAAAAATCCAATATTCTTCCTATTTTTCTTGGATCAGGCTTTAAAGGGTTAAATGCGGATTAACAGGCACTTAGCATCATAAAGAACAGAAAGAGAGAGACAGGCAAACATAAAAGGTAAATGAATAAATAATAATAATAAATAAATAAATTGAAATTGACAGGAAAAAATAAATACCAATAAAAAAATTAAACAGAAATTGGGTAATGAAATAAAATGAAATGGAGTGCATGACAGACAAAGTTTAAACAAGGCAGGCAAAAGTATGAACAAAGTATCAAAGCAAGATTAACAAAACTGTGCATAAAGTCCAAAATCCAATGGAAAAAGAGAGAGACTGTAACAAAGTACAAAATCAAAAACTCTTACGAGGCGTGAACAAGACGAGGAACGAAAAGACAAAAGCACAAAACACACTGGCACAGGACAAGGGGAAACGAGGACTATTTAAACACATGAGGGAAGGGAACCCCAGATGTACAAAATAGGTAATCAAGGAAGACATGACAACACACCAGAAATTCCACCAGACGTGACACAAACACTACGAGGAGATACACAAAACTAACGAAAACAAACAGCAAAACATACTGTGGAAAAACCCGAGGGAGAACCTGCAAACAAACACAAGGAAGAGACCCACAAACAATCGTTTTTTTGTTTTGTGTCCCCCTCCAGTCTTCGCCCAGCCCATCGTGAGCCGGGCCAAACCGGAGATGCTGAAGTCCCACTTCATCCCCACCATGGAGAAGCTGAAGAAGCGCGCGGGGAAGGTGGTGGCGGAGGAGGAGCACCTGCGCATGGAGGGCAAGAGCGAGGTGGACAGCGAGGAGGGGACCATCCGGGACGAGTTCGCCGTGCTGTGCCGGGACCTGTACGCGCTCTACCCGCTGCTCATCCGCTACGTGGACAACAGCAGGTCCCCAACCGCTCGCCAACCGCCATTAAAGCTGGACCGGGAGGATCCAGGGAGCCTAAACAGAGTCTCTATCTCTGTCCACAGGGCCCGGTGGCTGACCTGTCCAGACCCAGACGCAGAGGAGCTCTTCAGGATGGTGGGGGAGGTGTTCATCTTCTGGTCCAAATCACATGCAAGTATCGTTTGGTCTTCGGTGGACGGTTTTGTGGAGTTTCGCTTTCTTTTTGGGACACCTGGAGCGTGGACTTTCTCCAGTTTGTTGTCATCAGATGACAGGAATTTAGATTATAGTTAAAACTAAAGGCAAAACGAAAGCTTTTCTTTTTCAAATGACATTAAATCTATCATTCAGTTTAAGACGTTTGGATCGTTTTTATTTCTTTATGATGGAGCGGTTTTGTGTTTTTTCCAGCATTTGGTTTTGTGGTGTTTTGCTTTCTTTTTGGGACACGTGGAGCGTGGACTTTCTCCAGTTTGTTGGCATCAGATGACAGGAAATTAGATTATAGTCAGACTAAAAGCAAAACAAAAGCAAAAATAGCTGTTTCACATTGCTCGAACTTTCATTTTTCAAATGACATGAAAACTATCATTCAGTGTAAGATCTTTTTATTTCTTTATGATGGAGCAGTTTTGTGTATTTTCCAGCATTTGAAACAAGGAAAGAAATGATTTTTTCATAAATTTACCTTCATCATGTTGGAAAAGACATCATCATCTTCATAACAAGCTTAATATTTACACGTAAAGGCCAACAGGGAAATTACGTTAAAGCTTCCCAAGGGTTCATTTCCAGTTCTTAAACTAATAAATATTGCAATATAACATCTGGACTCTGATGAAAGGAAAAAAGCGTCTTTACCTGTTGGTCTGTTTCTTTCTGTGGCAGAACTTCAAGCGTGAGGAGCAGAACTTTGTGGTGATGAATGAGATCAACAACATGTCCTTCCTCACCGCCGACAGCAAGAGCAAGATGAGCAAGGTGAGAGAGGGGGAGCGGGCCTCCGGTTGGCCTGTTTTCAGCCAGAACTAAACCCTAATGATTAATATCCCACTAACGCCACTCTGAGTGGATTTGGGTTTAATCTCAATCTAGGTTCATTTCCACCATTTCTTCTCAGTAAGCCGTAATAATATAATACGAGTCATCTTAAAATAGCGATGTAACCCCACCATGAGCCTCACCTGTCATGGCTCTGACCAGCAGGGTTTGGTGGGCGGGTTCCCCTGTTGCTAACTGTGTTTTCTCCCCATGTCCTGTGTCGGGGGTCGGACGCGGGGCCGCTAGGCCGGAGACGGAGAGGTTAGCCTAGCCTGTGTTTGTGCACGAGATGGCATGGCACCCCCGAGTTAAACGGCATTTCATCAGGCGCTCCCGCCCCCCCCCCCTCCACCCTGGGGGTCTGATTGTTGGGGGTCCCGGGAGGCCTGATGAAAGCTCTGTGCTGTAGATGGTAGCGGCCTTTGGAGGCCCAGTGGTGCTCGGCTGAGCGGGCGCCATCGCCTCGTCTCTGATTGGAGCTGCTGTGTCCAATCCAATCCAATTAAACTTTATTTCTATAGCTCCACATCCCACAACAGCAGGTATCTCCAAGCTTTTCCAAACAGAGCAGCTCAGACCGGAGTCTGAAGTTATTTACAGAAGAACAACAAATCCCACCATGAGCAAGCACTAGGCGACACAGGGAAGCAAAAACTTAATTTAGGAGGAAGAAACCTGGAGCAGAACCATGGCTCAGGGTGGGGGTGAGAGAGAGAGACATAGAGAGAGAGGGCAAGAGAGGGAGAGAGAGAGAAGGACAGAGAGAGGCAGCCTACACACAGATTGGATGAAAAATGGCAATGATATTGATGCTAATGCTAATGCTAGTAGTAATAACAGGCAATAAGACTATGAACAGTGGCTGTAATTGTAACAGTAGGAACATGGGGACTACAGGAAACTCCCAACCACAGATCCAGCTTCCACATCTCCAGGAACAGGAAGTGATGGCAGGAACAGGAAGTGATGGAGGAGGCTCTTAGATCTTTCTCAGCTTTTGTGGGGGAGACTCCTGCCTCTCTCTCACCCCAGAGCTGGAGAGCTGTAGCCTCTCTCCCCGTCTCCCCCCAGATTTACCGGACTGGTCGGCATCATCTCTCACTTCTGGATCTGTCTAACCGCACTCATCCCTTCATGTCACGCCCATCAAAGTCATCAGATATCTCACCACTGTTTGATGTTTGGGTTAACCCCTCTTTAAAGACTTTTTCTTCTTTTATCTGACCACCAGAAGGCTCTTCATAGGGCCGGGGCCGGACAGACAGCTGTCCATAAGGGGTGGGACATGGCTGCAGGAAGTGGGGGTGCTGGGGAGGCTGCAGCACCCCCTAGTGGCGAGAGGGAGATTACATATTATATATTAAAAAATATATTAAAAATACTTTGCATAATTTATACATTTCTTATGAATATTATGAATATTTTGGGAAATTATTTTGATATTTTTTTATTCTACTATTACATGTGTTTGGATTTTAATATATATTTTGAGGCCTTATCAACACAGGTTCATGTTAGCTGACCAAATCTATGTTTTTCTTGTGTTATTGTGAAGTTTAATTAATAGCGCATATATATTCACCAGAAAACTGTTACAGACCCTGGTTTATATGACAATAAAGTAGTGAATCTCGATCTATTTTATTTATTTACATTTAGTGTATATTAATTAGGCCTTTAGTCTCATTGGTCTTTTGTAAAAAATAAATAAATGAATAAATAAATAAATAAATCACAGCACCCCCTGTTCAAAATGACTTCTGGGGTGGGAGGAGCTTAGGGGGGAGGAGCTTAGGGGCTGGAGCTGACCCCCCCTTTAGTGTCCTGTCCCACAGGGGGGGGTCAGGAAGACGCACTACTAACTGAGAGGCTGCCTTGTTTTTGACCCGTGGAGCTGACACCGATTAGCACCCGGTTGTGCCTTGTTTCTGCCGATGAAGATTTCTTTCTTATTTACATGACTAGTTTTAGAAGTCTCTGATTTCCCAGAAAGGGGAGTTTGGGATCTGAGGTGTTGTATTCTGACTTGTTTCTCTGAACTGTTTCCAGTCTGGAGGGTCAGAACAGGAGCGCACCAAGAAGAAGCGACGCGGCGACCGCTACTCGGTGCAGACCTCCCTCATCGTGGCGGCGCTGAAGAAGATGCTGCCCATCGGCCTCAACATGTGCTCCCCCGCCGACCAGGAGCTCATCAACCTGGCCAAGATCAGATACTCACTGGTACTTTGATGTGTCCAGTACGCTGGACGTTCATGTTGAAACTTTAAAGGAGACATATTATACCCTATTTCAACAAGTTAAGCTAGTTCCCTGGTGTCCTAATGTAATGTCTGTGACAAGCTTTGGTCAAAATCCCATAAGGATGAAGCCCAATAGCAGTTCAGTCCCCCTGCCTAACCCTAACCCTAACCCTAACCATAACCCTAACCATAACCCTAACCCAAAACAGCCCCGTTCAGAGCGCTCGCTTTGGAGTGCCTGTCTCTTTAAATGCAAATGAGACACAGGCAATCCGCCCACTTCTTCAGGGAGGTGTGCCCACGTCGGTACGCTAACGCTACCATGCTAACGCTACCATGCTAACGCTACCATGCTCACGCTACCATGCTAACGCTCACGCTACCACGACGTCTGCCACAGATAGGGGAGTAAGCTGAGGGGGGGGGGCAACATGCAGGTGAAAGGCTGGAATATTATAATGAGCTAGAGCTAATGACGTCAGAAACTACCCACTCCTGAAACCTCCTGATTTATCTCCTGGATTCAGACTGAGGCGGCCCACAAAAACATGACCCAGTCATTTTTTTTCACACTTTGCCTGCTGATAAGCCCTCCACAGTCCCAAATGTACATAATCAAACGATTAAACACTTGGTTTTGCATAATATGTCCCCTTTAAAGATGCTATTTTAGTCAAATGACTTCCTTAATTATCCTTTTTATAACATAAGTTATATATTATGACAGAAAATAAGTAAAGCTCAGGTATGATTTTGATATTCTCACAGAGTTCAGGATATTTTTTGCATAATATGCATAAATAATAAATGCATAAAAAATCTTCTATGCTTTTACAGAAAGACACAGATGAAGAAGTGAGAGAGTTCCTGCACAACAATATGCATCTGCAAGGCAAGGTGAGGCAACGGTTTCAGGGATGAGGGAGAAAACCCGGTTTTGAACCCTGAAAAATCCCTTTACCCTCTTTCAACCGAGAGTAGGGAAAATATGGCATTCATGGTCAAAAATCTTCTTTTTGTGGCCTCTTCCAAGCCCGTTTTAAATTCGTTTTGCCCTGGATTTGGTATTTGTAGACATGTTTTATTGTTCAGGACCCAAACATTTCCCCGAGAATGCCGAATAAATCATAAGAAACAGAAACAAGCCTTCTGCTTTGCCATTAGATAAAGCATCTGTTGTAATATAACTCATGACGTCGCAGCATTTATAGTATTTAGGTTATCCCGTTTTTGTAGCGTCTTTGCATTAAAAAAAAAGAATTTAGCTATTTCCACTGGGAAAGAGAGCAAATCTTCTAAAGAGCAGTGACATTACAAACGTTTGCTTTGGGGATGTTGCAGCATACTAGCATTAAAGGTGATGTCTAAAGTATAGATAAAACTAATAATAAGACTCAAACAGGTTTTTTGTAAAATGAAAAGTTACAGTTCCTTGTCTGGTACTAGTTCAGCCTCCAACAAAAAGGACATAAACCAACCCAAAAGCAAAAAGGGGAATTGGTCTATTTTGATATTTGTATTCAGGGTTTTAACCCTTTAAAGCCTTATCCAAGAAAAATAGGAAGAATGTTGGATTGTTTTAGTCTGAAGTCTTTCTTTGGCCCCTCAACAACATATGAAGAAAAAAAACAGAATTTTTTAAAATCAAATTGGCGTACAATAAGTCAAAGATATATTTTAGTGTAGTCTTCTACTGGCTGTTATCAGGTATATCTTAAGCTTTTACCATTGAATGATGCAAAAAGTCTCAGATCCAAAAGACTTCAGAAACCGTATGTATCAAATATGATACATTCTGCATTATAGGGTTAAGGGACACTCTGATAACATCTTTATTTGTCTCAAATAGTGGCATAATCAAATCTTTGATAGTGTCGTACATCTTAAGTGTGTTGCAAACTGATGTGTCTTCAGGTGGAGGACCCGGCTATGCGCTGGCAGATGTCTCTTTATAAGGAGCGCTCTGGGAAGGAGGAGGACGCCGAGGACCCCGAGAAGGTGGTCAAAAGGGTCCAGGAGGTGTCGGCCGTCCTGTACCACATCGAGGTGGTGAGTACCGACCCCGGTTCCCGAGCCCAGAAAGAGCCGTGAGCCTTTTTTCCGGAGAGGGCCCCGCTCACCTGTGGGCTTTCCCGCCTCAGACCGAGCACCCCTTCAAGTCCAAGAAGATGGTTTGGCACAAGCTGCTGTCCAAGCAGCGGCGCCGGGCGGTGGTGGCCTGTTTCAGAATGACGCCTCTCTACAACATCCCCGCGTAAGGATTCATTCCTCTCTGACCTGCTTACTTGCTTATGCATTTATCCAAAGCGACTTACTAAGTAAATAGATATCAAGGTTCGAAATTTGAGGGAATCTGGTGTTAGCTAGCAGGGCTAACAGCTCTGAAAAGTTGTTAGCTAGCTGACCAAAAGTAGCCCGATTGGTTCTATTCTGTCACGTGGGCTCCAGCATACTAAGTCTGAATATTTCTTCGTAGCCTTGCGTCACATCGCGTCATATTCGGTGCTATGATATAATATTTTTTAAAACGTTTTCAGTTCCTCACGCTTGGCGGCGCAACCACGTCATGCCTCCAACGATTTCATAAAAATTATGATACACTGTAAGATAACATGGAGGAATGATGGATTTTAAACGAAAACCCTTTATTTTGTTGATTCCCTGTTTATTTTGCATGTATTTGATATAAAAACTTGATTTGCCCACGGAGCTGAGCGCTAACGGGCTAACAGCTTTTGATTTTCTCAGGCCCCTCGTACTCTGTGTGTATGTGTATATATATATATATATATATATATATATCCCTGTTGGGGGATCAAACCATGTGACATGCTAACCCCCAGCCCACAGACATATCTTGATATCTAAGATACAGAAGAAGTTACGGTAACAGCTAGCACAGTGCGGCTAAAATGGGATTTGAGCCCTGGACCTTCGTATTAAAACTCTGAAGCTCTACCGGCTGATCTATCCGGCCTCTGAGCAGAAACGAGCCACAAACAGGCCCCAGTACTCGGACTTTTGCTCTCTTACAGGCACAGAGCGACCAACATGTTCCTGGACGCCTACAAGCGCAACTGGCTGGAGACGGAGGGCTACTCCTTTGAGGACAAGATGATCGACGACCTTTCGGTAGGCGCCCGCGAAACCCGTCCCCCGCTAGCCAAACCGCTCGCTAACGCCTCGTCTCCGGTCTTTAGAAAGCCTTGGAGGAAGAGGAGGAGGAGGAAGAGGAGACGGAGACCAAGCCGGACCCCCTTCATCAGCTGATCCTCCACTTCAGCCGCACGGCGCTCACAGAAAAGACGTACGCCGGCCCTCCTCTTTCCCCGGTTTTCCCTCGCTTTGACTCGCAGGTTCTGCTCACGTTGCTTCTCCCCCCCACAGCAAACTGGACGTGGACCATCTTTACATGTCGTACGCTGATATTATGGCTAAGGTAGGTCCTGGTCCAGAGTCTCCTCTGTTTTACGGGGGAAAAGGTGCAGCTTCTCAGAGCTGGGAGTTTGCACCTTGACCCTGTTAGCCCGATTCTTTAGCTGGAAACCTGAGAATAAACCAGAGTAGATCAAAAGTATAGAAAATAACATTTATTAGGTCACAGTTAAGTATGTGTGTTTGTGTTGACCTAAAGGTGGATCTAATGCAATCAGAGAAAGAAAAAGAGAATCTGTGGACACAACCAGAGACTTTAACACAAAATATAGTTATACAAATGAAAATAAAATAAACAACACAAACTATAGTTCTATAAGGAAATAAAACAATCAGTGATTTGCAAAGATCATGTGATAGCATGCAATGCTAAAGTGAGTAGTTATAGCCAAATTCTAACAGGAGGACTGGACATAACTGAGTCCTATTGGCCAGTTACCTGTGGGCATGAACAGGCCAGGTCCTAATTCATGCAGATGACAGGAATGTGGTAACAAATGGTGTGTTTGTGTATGTTGACCTAAAGGTGGATCTAATGCCTTGAGACAAAAAGAGGAAAATAAAATCTGTGGTTACAGCCAGAGCCTTTAACACAAAAAATAGTTCTATTGGGAAATAAAACAATCAGTAATTTACACAGATCATGTGATAGCCTACAATGCTAAAGCGAGTAATTATAGCCAAATTCTATGTTGAGGAGGGTTTTAGGGTTTCAGGAATGGACTTTGATCTTCGATCTTCTCCCCTCTCCCTGCAGAGTTGCCACATTGGTGAGGAAGACGAAGGGGGAGAGCAGGAGGGGGAGGAGCCATCCTTTGAGGTGCGACAGACAGAGATGGTATGGGGGGACCAGGGGAGGGGACACAGGGGAGTCAGCGGAGAAGCAGCTCCCCCCCGGAGCGGCCACACCGTGACATCACACCCGGCACACCCCCCCCCCACCCAACACACGCCTTCCACAGCATATCCTCTCTGGTCCACTCACGCCGCGTGTCTCCTTCCTGACCTGTGCATGCCTTTGCTGGACTCCATTCGTTCTGAGGCTGCATGACCTGAGTGCAGAGAGATGGTGGAGCTAAACACAACCACCAGGCCACAGCGTTAGCTTTAAGCTAGGTCCGTTAGCCCCGGAAACCCCGTTCTTTAGTCGTAGACGGACTTATTGGGAAAAAAAAGAGCATTATTAGCCCTCGTTTGAGCCTGATTTGTGCTCCTAGCTGTGTTAACTATTAACTATTTTGTGCGTTTGCAGTCACTTGTCACCCGGATCTGATCCCGACTCACGCCTGCTGTGCTCACATTTTCCTTTTGTCGACCGACTCTGATTGATTCCGGCTCACTTGGAGGACTAACCGATTTTTGTTTGTTGTCTTTACTTTGATTTGGACGGCGCTAACAAACCCTCCTCTGTGCTCGCCAGGGACTACAGTAAAAGCCTGCACAGTCCGAGCTCACGCCAGCAAACACTTGAGTCACCACACACACACACACACACACACCCACAAACACACACACACACACACATTCATAACTGAACCTCCCACCGCTCCCACAAAGGCACACAACAATAAGCAGAAGCTCTGTAACCAGAGGAAAATAAATCTGTGCAGCATTTTTTAAAGACAGGCTCACGTGGGAGGGGGGGTGGAGGGGTTTGGGGGGGTGGGGGGGGCAGAGGGAGGGGTGGATGTGGTTCTGTGTGTCTTGGGAGGTGCATGGTGTGCGATGGGTGGGTCAGATCTAACCCCTTTTGTCAACAGGAAGGTGTGTGTCACCCCAGACTTCCCCTGGTTAAATAAATAAAATAAAAGTATGAGATGGAAAACCAGACATGAAGAAGGTTTACTGTCCCTCTCAGGCTTGTTTGGGACCCAGAAAATGACCCAGAATTCTGTCCCAGAGGGTCGGAAATACCTGAAAAGAAGGAGAAAGTAGAGGGAAAAGTAGATGAACGGATAAGAAATGGGATGAGAGTCTTCATTAGCAGGTTTGAAAGCAGGGAAACATCTAAATCCTGCATTAAAGTGGCCCCTTAAGACCAGATCTGGACACTTTTGAACATCCAAATGTCAAAAAATGTCAGAAATTAGGGTGTGTTTGAGGTGTGGCCCTGATCATGGACCTAAATTACTTATTTTAAGAACGACTCTCATCTTTTTTGCATCTTAAAATGCTGAAAGGGAGCCAAGACAGAAGCCAGACCCACCCTAAACCGTTCAGCTGGATTTGGAGGTTGCATGCTGTGTTACTCAGACTTGGAGGAGTGTGTGAAGTGTGTGTTGTGTACTGTTGGACAAAGTTTTTGCAGTGTTTCAAGAGTTGGAATAACTAATACACACTGTGTGAGAGAGAGAAAGAATGAATGAATGAATGGAGGCAGTTAAATCCACCTACCGGGAGTCAAAGTAAGTGGGGGAGTTTGGCCTTGAATACGAATATGAGTTCATTTCCTGGTATGATAGAGTCTGCTTCAGTGAGTTTTCATTAACTTTTTAGATTAAGCAAGACAAACAGGAAACTCAGGTTCCAAAGGTCAGAATTAACTTAATCACCGCGGTGTTTCTGATCTCAGATATGTTCAAAAACAGTTCTGATTTAAAGTTAATGGAAAGTGAGTGATAGATTAGGTAATTTTATAAGAAGAAAATATGCAAATTCTGTCTAAAACCTACAGGACAGGAAAGCAAAGACAAAGGAAAATAAGTAAATAAGTGGATAAATATTAATTAATGACGCTGTGAGATACAGGTTAAAAAAAACGGTGGAAATTGGACATTAACATAAATAAAAACACAATTTAAAACTAAATCAAACTGATTTCAACCTTGATTTCAACTTCTATTTTTATTTAAAAAAATTTTAACCGAGTTTTTTATTTAATCAGAATCAGCATCAGAATCAGAAATACTTTAATAATCCAAGAAGGAAATTATTTTTGTTACTAGCTCCATAAATAAAACGACAGCATATACATATATACATGTCTATATTTATATATATATATATATATATATATACAAAATTCCAAGTTTTTTTATTTAAACTTAAATTTTAAACCAGCCTGAAACCTTTTAATGATGAGCTCCGAAACCAGCAGCTCCAGTGTGGGCTTAGTATCGAGTTGTGGGCGGAGCCCCTTGTTGTGGGCGGAGCCCCTTGTTGTGGGCGGAGCCCCGCGTTGTGGGTGGCGGTCTGAGTGTGTGTGTGTGCCTGTGGGGGGCCGTGCAGGTCCTCCCTGCGGGCTTTCAGCCGGCTCCGTTGGCTCTGCTCCGCAGGAGAAGGAGATGGAGAAGCAGAGGCTGCTGTACCAGCAGTCCCGCCTGCACAACCGCGGGGCGGCCGAGATGGTGCTGCAGATGATCAGCGCCTGCAAAGGTACCACCCCCCCCACAAACCCCAAACCCACCCCCAACCCCCAACCCCATCTGCCCTCACACTGTCTTCCCTACCCCCAACCCCCAAAACCCCATCTGGCCTCCCACTGCTGATCCCTGTCTGTCTTCACGAAACTCTTGAAGACCCACCTGGGAATTGCTGGGTTTCTGCAATTAACTCATTGGCTGCCAAAGAGGTCTATAGACGTCAATTCAATTACAACCGTTGACTACCAAAGACGTCTGTAGACGTCTTTTATGTTTTTCAACACGAGTGGCTTGGGGGACGATCTGCTAAAGCTTGTCCGTAAATATCAGGCTTCTAGACAGAGTATGTAGTAACAAATTGACCCTCTAGGGGGCAGTGCCACTTTTGATGGGAGATGAGCATAGACTGTAGGCAAATAAGAAAAAGCTAACGGTTCGCTATGAGAGAACATGTCGCCGGTGAGACGCAAGTTGAGGAAGAACGGAATAAGGTAGAAACAATTATTTTTTCCTGATGAAAGAAGAGAGTCTACTCTTTCTTTTGGTGTGTTCGGTGTTTACATAGTCATAGCACAAACTATTCTGTGGCTCTTGAAAAATCAGTCAAAATGCTCAAAAAACTCTGGCAGTCAATGAGTTAACTTCAGAGTAGGATCTGACCTGCTCTGTTTGGAAAGCGCTTTGAGATATCTGTTCTTGTGATGGGGCGCTATATAAATAAAATTGAATTGAATTTAATTGAACCTCTTCAAAGAGCATCTCCTATCCTAACCCTAACCCGTACCTGTATCCCCCCACATCTCCTTCTGTAGTCCCTCTACCTCTATCTCTATCTCACCACTGACTCTGATCAGTGTTTCTCCTCTGTATAGCTTATTGTCATAGTGATGATAAATGTAATATTGTGTCTACTCTGTAAGTCGCTTTGGATAAAAGCGTCTGCTAAATGCAGAAACATAAACAGAAACATGTAGTCAGAGGAGCCAGCACCTCGTTGTCTGGCTTCTCCTTAGCGAAGCAGATAAAGAGGAGTGAGGTCATCTCACCAAAAATTCCTCATGGGCCCCATTTGTAAACCCGACCGGAGGGGATGGACCTAAATCAGTGTTTTTACTAGTGTGCCGTGAGTGATTGTCAGGTGTGCCGTAGAAAATCATCCTATTTCACCTAATTGGTCTAAAAAGATATTTTGATAAGGAATTAATTATCTGCAAATAATATGCCATTTTTGAGTGTCTGTGCTGAACTAGTGACTGGTGGAGTAATCATGTAATAATTCCTTATGACTAGATTTTGTGTATAATTTTGTATATTGAGGTGGACATGTTAAGTGCAATTTGAAAGAAAAAATATAAAATATGATAAAAATACATTTTTGTGTTTATTTGATTCCTATTCATGACACTTAATGTAAGATAAGAATAAAATAAGAATAACTATAGTGTCACTATAGGCGGCTACAGATTTGTTTGACATTTTTGGTTGGTGGTATGTGCCTCTGGAATTTTTCTATGAAAAAATGTACCTTGGCTCAAAAAAGGTTGAAAAACACTGACCTAAATGATGCTAAATGTAAAGTTCTGCTTGTTTCAGGCGAGCCAGGAGTCATGGTTTCTTCCACGCTCAAACTGGGAATCTCCATCCTCAACGGAGGCAACAGCGATGTGCAGCAGGTACGGGAGGCCGGAAAAGGCTGGGAAAACTCAGCCACGACAAAATGAAGGAGGCTTTTTAGACTTAGACTTGTACTTTATTGATCCCTAGGGAAGACTACCTCAGGACATTAAAGTTACCAGCAGCTTACAGGGCAAAAAAGTGGCACACAGAGAGCAAAATGCAAAAAAACAAACAAAAAATACAGATTAAGTACAGGTAGGTACACACTAATAATAAATACAAAGAAAAAAATAAAAAACCCTAAATTGATAAAAAATAATCAAAGAATAAGAATAAAAATACAACGTGAAAATAAAGACCCCTAAATTAAGCAAAAATAAGCAAAGAATAAGAATATAAATACAAAGTAAAAAATAAAAGCCCTTAAATTAAGCAAAAAAAAGCAAAGAATAAGAATAAAAATACAACGTGAAAATAAAGACCCCTAAAAAAAATCTAGGAGTTTGGTGGATAGATTGACCATTGATATGTGGTTTGGCCTGATAAATATGGAGTTCACGTTTTACAGAAAAATACAAGATACAAGCCCTCTGGCTGTCAGTAAAACTTCCATCAGCATTTCACGCATCGAGCAGTTTGAATTACCCAATTTTATCTAGAAAAGTCGGTCAGAATCTGGAAAAATGAACAATTTGTACAGTTCTGAGGAGTTTTTTAGGCCCAGCTCTTCTTCTTCTGTCCTCCACTGGTCCAGTTTCCTCAGATGTTTTAAGGACTCTGCTCACCAGCTCAGATCTTTACAGTTTCCAGCCAGCAGCTCTTTGGGAATTCTCAGAAATCCTCTTTCCTGTCTGTCAGACTGGCTTTTCTTTGGCATTTTTCGCCATCAGCTAAAGACACGGAAAAAATTCTGTGTTTTTGTGACGGGCTTCTCCTAACAAAGAGCCTAAAGATCCCCTTTAAAATACTTTTTCTGCTGAGCTGGACACAATGCTGGCTCAGCCCTTGAGTTACGGGCTTTTTTTTTTCCTGCCTGAATGCTTCATAAATCATTATGCGGGACTCCAACAAAGAAAGGAAATTTATCATTAAAATGGTAAATGAGGGAAAAAGCAGCCAGGGTCCCACAAAAATAAAAGAAAGATCCTCGGAAAAGCCGGTTAGACGCTTGTTTTCTGGGGTTTTATTTGTCTGACTCTTTCTCTTTTGTGCGTGTGCAGAAAATGTTGGACTACCTGAAGGATAAGAAGGACGTGGGCTTCTTCCTGAGCGTTCAGGCTCTGATGCAGACCTGCAGGTGGGGGATTTTTCTGACCCTCTCCTGCCGGGGAAACTGGTCTTTGTGAGACTGATTTCTGTTTGAAAACACTTCCTGTCTGCAGCGTTTTGGACTTGAATGCATTTGAGAGACAGAACAAGGCAGAAGGACTTGGGATGGTTTCAGAGGAGGGCGGCAGTGAGTATGCTGCGCACACACACACACACACACACACACACACACACACACACACACACACACACACACACACACACACATATGCCTGGTTCACACAGGATCTTGTGAGTGAATTCCTGGTTCCAGAGACTGGATCCCATGTGGATGCCTGGTTCTACGCACTAGAACCTGTGTGTGGATGCTTGGTTCCACAAATTGGATCCTGTGTGGATGCATGGTTCCATACTGGATCCCGTGTGGGTGCCTGGTTCCACAAACTTGATCCTGTGTGGATGCCTGGTTCCACACTAGATCCTGTGTGGATGCCTGGTTCCACACACTGGATCCTGTGTGGATGCCTGGTTCCACACTGGATCCTGTGTGGACGCCTGGTTCCACAGTAGATCCTGTGTGTGGATGTCTGGTTCCACACACTAGATCCTTTGCAAATGCCTGGTTCCACACTGGATCTTGTGTGGATTCCTGGTTCCACACTAGATCCTGTGTGGATGCCTGGTTCCAGACTGGATCCAGTGTGTGGATGTCTGGTTCCACACTGGATCCTTTCTGGATGCTTGGTTCCACTCTAGATCCAGTGTGGATTCCTGGTTCAACACTGGATCCTTTCTGAATGCTTGGTTCCACACTGGATCCTGTGTGGATGCCTGTTTCTACACACTGGATGCTTTGCAAATGCCTGGTTCCACACTGGATCTTGTGTGGATCCCTGGTTCCACACACTACATCCTTTGAAAATGCTTGGTTCTACACACTGGATCCTGTGTGGATGCCTGGTTCTACACTAGATCCCATGTAGATGTCTGGTTCCACACACTGGATCCTGTGTTGATCCCTGGTTCCACAAACTGGATCCTATGTGGATTCCTGGTTAACACTAGATCCCGTGTGGATTCCTGGTTCCACACTGGATCCTGTGTGGATGCCTGGTTCCATACTGGATCCCGTGTGTGGATCCCTGGTTCCACCCACTGGATCACCGCCCACTGAGGGTCAGGAGATGTCTGGACTCACTGCGTGTCTCTTTGTCTCTCTCCCCCCGACGCCTTGTTCACTTTTCCCCCCATTCGCCCTTTTTTTGTCCGTCCTACTCGTCCAATCGCTGCTCTCGCGGTTCTCAGATATGAAGCTAGAACGCGGTAAATGAAGATTTGCTGTGAAACACTTTCCTCCCTCTCTCACCCTTTCCTGTCCTCTCACCCCCTCCTCTCTCTCTCTCTCTCTCTCTCTCTCTCTCTGGCTCCTAATCACCCGACTAGTCTTTTCCTTGCTGTGAACTTACTAGGCATTTCATTTCACACTCAAGTTCTCGGCTAAAGGAAGCTTTGCGGTCGCCTCTTTAACGGAGGAAACCTGAGAGTAAACCAGAGTGGATCAAAAGTAAAAAAAAAACATTTATTGGGTCACAGTTAAGTGTATCAGCTGGGCTCTGACAGACTAAAACCTCTCTCTGGGTCTCAGTGGGCAAAGAGCCCTGAGATCTGGGTGATGGGCATTATCTCCTGGGCTCCATCCGCCTCCTCAAAGGAGGACTGGACACAACCAAGTCCTATTGGCCAGTTACCTCTGGGCAGGAACAGGCCAGGTCCTAATTCATGCAGATGACAGGAATGCGCTAACAAATGGTGTGTATTTGTGTTGACCTAAAGGTGGATCTAATGCAACAGAGAAAATAAAAAGAGAGAGGAGAGTCTATGGTTACAGACGGAGAATTTAAGACAAAAATATAGTTTTATAAGGAAATAAAACAATTAGTAATTTACATAAATTATTTGATAGCATACAATGTTAAAGTGAGTAGTTATAGCCAAATTCTAACAAGGCGACCGCAGCGCTCCGCTTTCATCCTTGAGTGTTTCTTTCAAATCTTTTGGATCACAGATCTACTGTAACTCCTTGGAGCCCGGTAGCTTTAGCTTTCCCCTCCAGCTCTTTGTGGTCACAGAGAGAAGGTCCATCCTCACAGCCAGATTTCTGTGGAACATCAGATCGGGAAAAGTCACAAGTCCGTCTGGCTGCAGACTGCAGGAAGCCAAGGATGGCTACCAACTCCATCCACATCCAAGTCGGCCATTTTATTAGGTCACCAATAGGAAGATCCCAGGCAAGAAAATCCTAATTGCTTCATGCCAATACAGACATTCATTTTAAAATAGTGAAATGAATCTTGCCAACACTGAATTAAACTCTATCCATAATATTATGTTAAAATAGTGGATGTTAAATAGGTTTGTACAATAAGTCCAAACAAGTTTAACCCAAAAAATATTTCTTTCTCACAATTATGAAGGGTGGAGGGTTAGGGTTAGGGTTGGGTTAGGACATCGTTTATCTTCTGATTTTGTGTAAACAGTAAAGTTTTGTTTCCACCTCAGAAAGCTGCTAGTCACATGACCTAATCAAAATGGCCGACTTGGATGTGGGAGGAGTTGGATATCCAGCCGAGGCTCCTACAGGCTGCAGCCAGAGGCTGCTCGACAGTTCCGATAGGATGAAAAATGCAGATCCTGGGTTCATGCTGTTTCCAGAGAGATATGACTTTGTTATCTATAAAGTTATCTGATGATGAAAAGCAGCAAAAGGCTCCAGCTTTGGTCTTTTAAAGATTCCCGTCATTTACAAATATGCAGCAAATTTGTGTCTGTCCGTCCTTTGCACCCCGCTTTCTTTTTAATATCCCCATCAAAGTATCAAAGCAGCTCACAGCTGCTGGTTCCTGTCCTGTGGTCCCTGTTTGTCTCCAGGATCGAGGTTTTAGGAAATCCCAAACGCTTGTTGTTTTGTTTTGTCTGACTTTGTACACAGAAACGGATTGGTCTGAGCATGCTAATGCATTGTTGTGAGAGACAGTGCTCTAAAAGCATGCTAATGAATTAGGTCAAAATATTGAAATCAGCCAAAGTGAGATGCTCCAAACAAAACAACAACTGATTTTGGTGTTAAAAAGTGAGTTTTTTACCACTGA